TTCCGCTATCTGGTAACATTGAAAAAAAAGACCAAGTCTAACAGAAAAAAAAAGTTTTTTGAGGTCGTGTTTTCTATACGTTTTGGGTCATTTCCTATATAAAAAATTGGATCAAATTTTGGTGATTTTGTATTATTACTGAACGTGTTCAACGGTATTTGGAAACGTGAAGTGTGGGATATGGTAACCTTAGCCCCTTGAAGCCATTTCTAATGGGTATAACATATGGATAAAAGCGTAATAGGTTACATAGGTTAGTAATGTTTCACATGCATGAAGATGACACCCGTGGCTTCAATAGTTTTAGAAAACAAAGCAAAAGCGTGATTTTGTAACTTAGAGCGGGATTTGGTAACGGCTCAGCGGGATTTGGTAACAAAGCGGCATTGGGTAACTTGTGCAGGATCTGGTAACCTAGAGCAGGATTTGGTAACGGTATAGCGGGATTAGGTATCAAACCTGGATTATTTAGCTTTCTGCAAATGGTAACTTTTATTTTTAATTGAAGCCTTTACAAAAGCCGAATGATAGACGAAAGAGTTGATGTTTATGAAGAAATGTGGGTATTCAATTGATGAATCTCTATTTCTATCAACAAATGTAACAAGAAATCTAAATTCCATTTTTTCCATATTAAAGATCATTTATGAAAGAAAAACGCATGTAAAATCATTGCTTTATTGTCAAATAATACTTAACATTGCTCTATTCACATACAATACTTAACATTGCTCTACACACATTGAATGTTTGGCAATTCTTGATAATGAATACTAAATGTTAATGCTATTTTATACAAAAAAATGATGACACCTCTTTTTCAACTGTAACCTTGGTCATATGACCTTGGGGAATTGTTTAGATGAACTTGAATCTTTAAGTATTGAAAGTTATGTAAACACAGTCACCTCTGCCAGCATGTCACTGAGAGTTATAGTTTAGAGATAAAGATGGTGTACCACTTCTGCCGGCATATCACAGAGAAATCACATTGAGATAAAATAAAGATGGCGTACCACGTTTCCAAAGAAGTTTGATTATCGAATTTTATACATGAAAAGTCAACGGTACAAAAAAAGTGTTTGCTAAGGCTAACCGTGACTTCAAGAAATTCACTTCCTAAACAATGTCCTTACTCTGTCAATTATATTTCCTTTTGGTACTCTGATCCTAATTTATTTTGCATATTTAGCAAGAACAGCCTTCCCTCCTCTGATTCTTCGAGATTGTTAATCACTGCCAGTTTTGTAATTCCTTTTGTAAAGTCGAGTCCGCTTAGCAGGACTGATAGCGTTCGCACTTCTAATTCGCTAAACGATCTCCTTTTATGTGGCTACAATATATTTAAAATCAAGTGAGGTATATTTTAAAAGACTAAGAAAATGAATGATTAAGCAAAAGAAATATTAGAAGTACCAGATAACTTACCCCTGACGGCAACTGTGGAAAACCTTTTGGTGTTTTTGTCGTTTTCTATTCAAAACACATCATGTTAAAATATCGTCCTATTCATTTTTTAAAATACAATTTCATAATTTTAAAAGTTTTATGATGAAGAGACTTAAGTTTTTGATGATCATAGAATTTTTTTTATAACCTACGTGCTTCAGTACATCTGTTTCAAATTATGATTTTCGGTATAATAGATTTGTATATAATAAACAAAATGGAAGAAGTAGCGTATAATGGAAGAAGTGGAGGAAATTTTGCTTCCAACAGTCATTTGCTTTGAAAATTACAATCATAACATTTACCTTTGGAGAGTCAGAATCAGGGGTAGGGTTAGGGTTTGAACTTCCTTCCGCAGTACCTGTCTGCGATATCTAAAATATAAGGAAATATTTCATCGACATTTTAAAAAGAAAATAAAACATTTTCAACGAAGGAAAATGCCAAGAACTAAAGACAAGTGCATTAAGATATACCTCTTGAATGGTGCTTGTCTGAGCAATCTGTTGTGTAGTTCTTGATGCCTAAATAAAAGAAAACAGGATATTTGAGCATCCTTAACTGTACAAATTTGAAGCTTTGAACGTTGAAATCAATATAGAAACTTACTTCACTTTCCCCTTCCATGACAGCCGTTATGAGCCTAGACAAGGGCACCGCCATCTTTGATTTGTCTGCCATCTGATAATATTTGTCGGCTGTGGTAGGCTCATGGGACATGTGCCTAGATAAAACATCCCTTGAATGGGATACAGCCTTTCTGACTTCAGTGACAACTGCTTTTCTGAGCCTAGTTGTAGAAATCGGTTTGTCTAAACCGAATATTTTGTTCCACAACCTGCCGAGACATTTGTTTAAGCCTGAATTGACGAGTAGCTGTGGACGTTTCCCCCAGAGGGCCATTTCATGAAAATGGAATCCGATTTCTTGAAGACGAAGTTGGGCAATCCTCCTTGCCAGGTGGATATACTTTTGCACAAAATACAGAGCTCTGGTGATAAGCTGACTATCGCTGGGCCTTTTGAAGTCCGTCTTATGCTTTGTTACCTGTAATTTAAATGTTCCTTTAAAAATTGACCTTGGCAGAATTTACACCAAATAGGAATTTAAATTGATCTTATGTTAGCATTTCTTCACAAGACTGTCTTTTTTTTTTACAAGAACTCATTTCTTTGATTGAGAGTGTGTAAGTGTGAATGTGCTTAAGAGTATGTTTGATTTTGTGTAATTTTGGATGCCAGCGTGTGTGTGGTTAACTAACCCTTAACGTGATATATCCCTCCTCTCTTAGCTGTCGTTTTTGAATAACATCGTGCGTTATCGAAAGGACGGCTCCTGCCCTCTTTCCATTTGCTATAAGGATCCGGAAAATCACGTAGTCCCGAACGTTGATAAAGAACTCCATTGTCAAAGGTACACATTCCTCACTACAAAATTAAGATGTATGGATAATTGAAGAAGAATATTTCTATACAATTGAATTAATGCTTCAAAATTCAACTTACGTCGTAAAGTTGTCCACAACTGGTGGACTTTGGAAACGGAGGTCCTCAATACGTTCCCTTTTCGAGATGTGGTGCGACCTCCTAAGATGGTCACCAAATCTTGCAATTGCCTTACTGCATAAAATACATTTCCGAACAATGTAACGCCTTTGCTTTACCGCTTTTTCAAAAGTATCCTGTTTATGAACTTGTCGCATATGACGCCGCATATGGACAACTCTCTTACCACACTTTAGGCACGCATGTTTGTGTCTGAGTCTCTTCATAGTTTTCTTTTTCCAACAATCTTTCGGCTTTCTGGTTGCTTCTTTTCACCCTTTTTTATCGGTGAAATGTTCTCCAGGGAAAATAAACTTTCTGAGTCTGTTTCTGTCATTGCTTCGTTCAACCTCCTTCTAAGCTCTCCTTCCCTGGAGGATATTTGAGACCCTACGGTCTCAAATTTTCCAGCATTAGGGGGCGACATAGAAGGAGGATAATCTACAGAAATGGTTGACTGATGCTTCAACCATTTCTGTAGGTTATGTGAGGCTTTCCGAATCTCGTCCTCTACAGACGCCACCAAGTTAGATTTTAAAAACTTATTGATATCTTCCGGACTTCTCAAATTGCCTGTTTAAAAGAAACTTGGTTAAATATACATTTATATGTCACTTATGAACTTACTATCGTATGCTTTTCATCTTAGTACATACCGGAAGCATAAAAAAGAACGTATTAAATTCAATGAGATGAACAGACAAAATATAGATAAAAAGAAATAATTTCAAAAATCTAGAGCATTGGCTTACCGTTGTTACTTGATGGTATTTCTCTCCTGGGGTTGGCAAGGCCAGTAGATGATCGTTTCGCCAGAGGACCTAAAAGAAATGAAAAGTTTCTGTTAAGTCGTTGTAAAAGTCTTTGTATTATTACTGAACGTGTTCAACGGTATTTCTTAACGTGAAGTGTGGGATATGGTAACCTAAGCCCCTTGAAGCCATTTCTAATGGGCATAACAAATGGATAAAAGCGTAATAGGTTACATAGGATCGTAATGTTTAACATGAAGGAAGATGACACCCGTGGCTTCAATAGTTTTAGAAAACAAAGCAAAAGCGTGATTTGGTAACTTAGAGCGGGATTTGGTAACGGCACAGCGGGATTTGGTAACAGAGCGGCATTGGGTAACTTGTGCAGGATTTGGTAACCTAGAGCAGGATTTGGTAACGGTATAGCGGGATTGGGTAACAAACCTGCAACTTTGAAATCAATAAAGAAACTTACTTCACTTTCCCCTTCCATGACAGCCGTTATGAGTGTAGACACGGGCACCGCCATCTTTGATTTGTCTGCCATCTGATAATATTTGTCGGCTGTTGGTAGGCTCATGGGACATGTGCCTAAGTAGCACATCCCTTGAATGGGGTACAGCCTTTCTGACTTCGGTGACAACTGCTTTTCTGAGCCTAGTTGTAGAAATCGGTTTGTTTAAACCGAATATTTTGTTCCACAACCTGCCGAGACCTTTGTTTTAGCCCGAATTGACGAGTGGCTTTGGAGGTCTTCCCCCCGGGGGCCACTTAATGAAAATGGAATCCAATTTCTTGAAGACGAAGTTGGGCAATCTCCTTGCCAGGTGGATATACTTTTGCACAAAAAACAGAGCTCGGGTGATAAGCCGACTATCGCTGAGCCTTTGAAGTCCGTCTTATGCTTTGTTACCTGTAATTTAAATGTTCCTTTAAAAATTGACCTTGGCAGAATTTACACCAAATAGGAATTTAAATTGATCTTATGTTAGCATTTCTTCACAAGACTGTCTTTTTTTTTTTTTTTACAAGAACTCATTTCTTTGATTGAGAGTGTGTAAGTGTGAATGTGCTTAAGAGTATGTTTGATTGTGTGCAATTTTGGATGCAAGCGTGTGTGTGGTTAACTAACCCTTAACGTGATATATCCCTCCTCTCTTAGCTGTCGTTTTTGAATAACATCGTGCGTTATCGAAAGGACGGCTCCTGCCCTCTTTCCATTTGCTATAAGGATCCGGAAAATCACGTAGTCCCGAACGTTGATAAAGAACTCCATTGTCAAAGGTACACATTCCTCACTACAAAATTAAGATGTATGGATAATTGAAGAAGAATATTTCTATACAATTGAATTAATGCTTCAAAATTCAACTTACGTCGTAAAGTTGTCCACAACTGGTGGACTTTGGAAACGGAGGTCCTCAATACGTTCCCTTTTCGAGATGTGGTGCGACCTCCTAAGATGGTCACCAAATCTTGCAATTGCCTTATTGCATAAAATACATTTCCGAACAATGTAACGCCTTTGCTTTACCGCTTTTTCAAAAGTATCCTGTTTATGAACTTGTCGCATATGACGCCGCATATGGACAACTCTCTTACCACACTTTAGGCACGCATGTTTGTGTCTGAGTCTCTTCATAGTTTTCTTTTTCCAACAATCTTTCGGCTTTCTGGTTGCTTCTTTTCACCCTTTTTTATCGGTGAAATGTTCTCCAGGGAAAATAAACTTTCTGAGTCTGTTTCTGTCATTGCTTCGTTCAACCTTCTTCTAAGCTCTCCTTCCCTGGAGGATATTTGAGACCCTACGGTCTCAAATTTTCCAGCATTAGGGGGCGACATAGAAGGAGGATAATCTACAGAAATGGTTGACTGATGCTTCAACCATTTCTGTAGGTTATGTGAGGCTTTCCGAATCTCGTCCTCTACAGACGCCACCAAGTTAGATTTTAAAAACTTATTGATATCTTCCGGACTTCTCAAATTGCCTGTTTAAAAGAAACTTGGTTAAATATACATTTATATGTCACTTATGAACTTACTATCGTATGCTTTTCATCTTAGTACATACCGGAAGCATAAAAAAGAACGTATTAAATTCAATGAGATGAACAGACCAAATATAGATAAAAAGAAATAATTTCAAAAATCTAGAGCATTGGCTTACCGTTGTTACTTGATCGTAATTCTCTCCTGGGGTTGGCAAGGCCAGTGGATGATCGTTTCGCCAGAGGACCTAAAAAAATGAAAAGTCTCTGTTACATCATGTGATATTACCAAAGAAAAAAGAAAGGCGATGGATGAAGTGAATCAAAACTGAAATAAGAGATATTTTACCCCGATGGTTTGAGAATATTTCTAAATATTTATCGGATGTAACAATCAAATTCTTTTAAATTCTTTTATTCAATAAAAATGAAGATACCAACCTACTGCTAGAAACTTCTTTTTCTGTTTCCACAATTTTCCTCTAAATAGCATAAGAATTACCTATCAAAATCAAACAAGTGATTCATTTCTCTAAATCATTTTGATTGTTTAGATCTGAAACTTATTGAGTATCTGAATATACTCACCCATTAATACAGGCTGCTCGTGCTGTTTCCATTTTTCTGATTTCCTGATCTTCGCTACCAAAATGTCACAAAAAACTTCAGCAAATTAAAAAAAAAATCTGCAGCGTTAGGGACACTGTGTGCTTACACTGTTCTATGTGACGACCTAAAATTCCAACGCTAACCCTGCAGCTGGAGTGTATTAGAAATCTTCTCTGTTTTAGACGCGCAGAAGAGTTCCAAACACAAAAGAGCGCGAAAAACAGAAAAGTTTTGGACGCGCAGAAGAGTTCCAAACACAAAAGAGCGCGAAAAACAGAAAAGTTTTGGACGCGCAGAACAGTTCCAAACACAAAAGAGCGCCAAATACAAAAGAGCTCCAAACACAAAAGAGCTCCAAACACAGAAGAGATATTTTGTAACCTTAAGCGATAACGTTCCAACTTTATTAAACAAAAAGAAAAAAGAATGAAAATAAAATATGCTATAACTGTTACAAATGATCTTATTACATTATTTAGAGGGGTAAAATGTAATATATATTCCCTTGAAAGCCGTTTGAACAAGATCAGTTTTTAAAATCTTAATAGGAATGAACATGGGGTATCGTATCCTTGAGATATAAGAATAAGTTATGCAATGCATCTGAGGAATGACTATCAATGTTTCGTAAATAGATATGAAGAGGGACGTTAAACAATATACCATTAATCAATTCAAGGAAATATACATAGACATGTACATATTTTGTCCGGTGGAAAAAATTGGATAACATAATACGCTATTATGAATTAAAAGAGAGTAAAATATGCATTGAAGACAAGGAAATGCATGTTTGAAATTGATTACAGCACACGGTTTATCATAAAATCTTATTGTAAGAAATATAAAATGACTT